GACAAAATAATACTTCATTATACTTTTCTAAATATTTTAATTAATAATAATTTTTCACTGAATTTTTCTACTCTCTTAATAAAATATTATCGAAATATTAATGAAATTATAATGAAATTTTAATGAAATTGGGTCAAAATTGTGAATGCTTTTCAAACATATTTCAGCAAAAGTTCATTATATTTTCAATGAATTATTTCCATCAGATACAAATATCTCAATTGAGATCTTACATGCGAAATTTTGCGGAAACCTCAACTGAGAATTCAATTGAGAATTTAATTGAGAATTCAATTGGGAATTCAATTGTGATCTTAATAGAAATTTTTCAGTAGGGTATATTTATAAAATTTTTATATATATATAATATTTATATATATATATTTATAAAATATTATATATATATATTATATATATAGTTTTTAGAGGGGGTGCGGGGAGCGTAGTCGTTCGAGGTTGCAGTACTTACTAAAAAAAATATTTAAATTAACATTAATTTATAAATGCAATTAAATTTATAAATGCAATAAAATGTGTAAATTAAATTATATTTTCATAGAATTTCATTTTTCAGCAGTCGAGCGGTACTATACGAAAGACTATAGTATACTGACTTATCATTCCTTACAAGTACGTTTCATATGTCTAATATCAACAGTAACTTATTTCATTCCGGTTAGAAATGTAAACAAAACAACTTTCACTTATCAAACAACATGACAATACAAAACTACAATGTCAGTATATATAGTATTAGAAAATTACATTATATTGATTAAACTTTCTGTGTTAATAACTTTTTAATGAACAACGAGCGAAGGTTAGAACTTTTTGAATATTATTCAGAATGGTCAACTGTATAATATATCCAAAGATTATTAAAATCGCAGAGTGGTCCGTTATTCTGCATATTTACCGATGCGGAATTCTCTGGATTTTTACGTTCGAATTTAACCCAATGATTGTAAATGGAACTAGAACCGAGTTACTTGCCAGTTAGCCACCTTTCCGGCGAAGGGGAAAACTATATGCAGCATATTCCCGAAAGAGGAAAGAGAAAAAGAATGGGAGAGGATACTATGGACGGGCAACGTAGAAATTCCCCAGGAATTACGGATTTTTCCCGAATCGCCGGTATGGGACTCTAGCCGGGATTTATCATATTTCAATTTAACGCCGGAAGAATAAATTCGAACGTGAGTTATAAGATGACTTAAAATATTAAATATTTTACAGAACTCGCGTTTCTTATTATTTCATTATTTCATTACTCTTTTACAGTACAACAACAAGGAGGCACACGTGGGCGCGCTCTCTCCTCCGAAATAGAACCGGCGCGAGAGAAGTCTATGCAGGAAGAAGAAGTTCCTCACGAGCGCGGTAACGTCAGATTTAATTATATCGAAATACGGGGAGAAAACGCGCGGCGGTTTAGAAATTTTTGTATTTTAGGACAAGAAGCGAGTATAAAGATTCTCACGCTCACTGAAGGCACCGACATCGTTAACCATTTAGAAAACGCGTTCTGCGAAACCTATTCTTACGCCGTTAATTCCGCTAATGCGAGCGATTACGTGGGGTTATCTTTCACCTCGACGGCTTTAACACGCGGGCCGGCCGACTTGTCGTTTCGCCCGGTGCGAGACTTGACTTACGGGGATATTTGAAGCCTCGTAAGCTCGGTAGCGCAGAGCGCCGGGATTCACGATATCGCGGACCGTTTTCTAATATCGGGATGCCTTCGAGACAAGGGAGAAAATCGAATAAATTAACTCGCGAAGATGTAGTTTACTACATCGCTCTATTTTAAATTACTAAAACGCTCGATTTTAAATATAAATAATCGGGATAATATATGTCCCCCTCGCTCCCTCGTCGTGACTCGCGTTTATTGTGAACGCGGTACAGTACGCAGTGGCGAAATACATAGAAAATGGGATAATATAAGATAGAAACCCATATTATGCGTTGCAAAGACGTTTGGCCGAAGAAATAACGAAAAACGCCGGTTATACCCGAGGAAAGATGCGGCATCCCGGAGATCAAGTGTTTTCAACAGCTTCTCTCGCTAGAAAATATCGCGATTGTTGTCTATAATTTCAGGAATTTCGGTCGCGGAGTCTCTCCGTTGTATGACGGACATTCAACGCTCGCCTCTCGTTCTCGTATAGCTAAGTATACGTTAAATATAATGTATTATGAGCATTCACGGCATTATAAGCCTATTTTAATGAATAATAAGCCTATTTATATTAAATTTAAAAGCTGCCTCGGCTAGTAGATATTATTGCATTCCTTGTAATAAAGGTTACCGTCGTGAAACGGGTCACCGGTGCTCAAATACGTGTCCGCGATGTCTCGGTTCGCCGCCGTGCGAGAAGCTAGACGCGCGATTGATCGGCTGCGACGCGTGTAACCGCGCTTTTTACGATGAGAGCTGTTTCGAACGTCATCGCACGCCGAAATCTTACGCTGGCAAGTCGCCGTCGAGTGTTTGTAACGCCGTAAGATTTTGCAACAATTGCGGGCGTTTGAAAAGATCGGGCGCAAAACACGTATGCGGCGCGGCTTATTGTCGCATATGCTGTGTGTCGAAACCGCTGAATCACTTGTGTTTCATGCGGCCGCTTCGAGGGGAGCTCTTATCGGCATCGGACAACGCGAAAGAACTCGAGAATGTCGACGAGACCGATGATATCGATGATCACGATGATGCGAGAACAGATCGGAAGGACCGCGCCGCGTTTATATTTTACGAATTTGAGACGCGACAAGACGAAATGCTCGAAGGGTGCGCGAACGTTAAAATACACGTAGTTATTCTCTGCGTTGCGCAGCAAACGTGCGAATCTTGCCTGGGAGAAGACGATATGACGTCGCGATGTCGTTGATGCGGAGTGCGCGAATTTGTATTTCGCGATGATCTGGTAAAACAATTCGTTGATTTTGCAACGAGAACGACAAAGCGTTTCTCGTGCTTCATCTGTATCGCGCACAATGCGGGGATGTTCGATTTGCAGTTCATCCTACGCTACCTGGTCGAGAGCGGTAGGACGGACGAACCGAAATTAATATTAAAAGGTAGAAAAATTGTATTACTATCCATGGGATGGACAAAATTTCTCGATAGCGTTAATTACATATTTATGAGCCTGTCGGTGTTACTGAAAGCTTTCAGGCTGAAGGATTCCGTCACCAAAGGTATATTTCCGCATTTATTCAATACAATTAAAAATCAAAATTATGCCGGGCCGCTACCGGATATTGATTATTATTCTCCGCATACAATGAGGTCGGACGAACGCGAACAATTTTTAACGTGGCACGCGGAAATGACGGGCAAAAACGCGGTGTTTAATTTTCAACAGGAGATAGTGCGCTATTTCCGGAACAATGTAAATATTCTTCGACGAGCGTGTCTGGCCTGTCGAAAAATTTTCCTAGACGGTGGAAACGTATGCTCGTTCGAAGAATGTACAATTATCGCTTCCACGTGTATGAAAGTTTTTCGCAAAAACTTTTTGCGCGAGAAAAAGATTGGGATAATCCCGCTCGGCGGTTATAAGCGCGTCAACGCGCAATCGCGCAAAGCGTTACAATGGTTATTGCTAATGGAGCGTGAACTCGAACGCTCGATAATTCACGCGGAGAGAGACCGGGAACAGCGTTTATCGGAAGGTCCGCTCGTCGATGGATATTATGAGACGGAGAATCCCCGGCAGCGTCACGTGCTGCAGTTGCACGGTTGTTTTTGGCACGGATGTCCCGAGTGTTTCCACGTGAACCGCGACAGACCGCTCTCAACCGCGTCGCGCGAGATTACGATCGAAGCGCGTTACGAGCGCACACTCGCGACGATGTGTCTTCTTAGAAAACGCAGATACGTCGTTCCGGAAATGTGGGAGTGTATCTTCGATCAGAAGCTGCGCGAAAATCGTGAGATACGCGAATTTGTTGAGAATGATCCCATGTTGAGAAACAATCTCCTCGAACCTCTCGAGGCATACAGAAAATATCGTCACATGGCATGAAGTTACGGATACGGAAAAGATACATTACGTGGACGTGTGTTCTTTGTACCCGTATGTGCTGAAGACGGATGCTTTTCCGCTCGATCATCCGGACATTTACATAGGGGAGGAGTGTTCCGCCTTGATCGGAGCAAGCCCCGATTTTAACTTTGACACCGTAGAAGGCCTCGTACGTTGCAGAGTGCTCGTGCCGCATGATCTCTTCCATCCGGTACTCCCTTATCGCGTAAACGGAAAATTGTTATTCGCGCTTTGTCGCAGCTGCTGCGAGACATTTTCTCAGACCGCGTGTACGCATGACGACTCTGCCGATCGCGAATTTGAAGGCGCATGGGTGTCTTGCGAGTTACGCAAAGCTATTGAGAAAGGTTATCGCGTCACGAGCGTGAGCGAGATATGGAACTACGAAATCACGCAATACGATCCTGTTACGTGGCGGGGAGGATTATTCGCCAAGTATATCAACTGCTTTCTGCAGTTGAAGCAAGAGGCCAGCGGATGGCTAAACGAATGCGCGGATGACGAAGACATCGAGGAACGGTATTTGCGCGAATACGAGAAAGTCGAGAGTATTATTCTTAATAGGGCGAATATCTCCTCGAATCTAGGCTTGCGCTCAGTCGCGAAGCTCTCAATTCCTTCTGGAGTAAATTCGGTCAATGGTCCAATCTACCGAATACCGAGATCGTTAGAACGTGGGAGAGTTTCACGGCTCTGCTCACGAGTCCAGAGCACGAAATAACAAATGTATTGCCCATAAACGACGAAGTGATATATTGTAATATATAAATATGTTTCATGGTGAATGAGGCGAGAAGTCGTCACATTGTCTCCGCTGACCAGCGTCGCGATAGCAGCTTACACCACGGCGTTTGCCCGATTAAAGCTATATTCGTATTTAGAAAAGTTAAATCGTCGCGTATTATATTATGATACCTATTCGTGTATATATTTGAGCACCGATGATCCCGACGAGTACGAGCTGCGTACGGGAAATTTTTTGGGCGATATGACGAATCAACTCGAGAGTTACGGCCCCAGTAACTACATCGAGACGTTTGTATCCGTTGGCCCGAAATTTTACGCTTACGTCGTTTGCACGGGCAAAGGACGCGCGCGAGAAATTTGCAAAGTGAAGGGAATAAACCTGAATTTTTAAAATTCCCGCGTGCTTAATTTTAGCTCCATTAAGTCATTGTTACTAGCCGACGAAAAGTTAAAGAGGGGAGAAGAGACGAACGAGGATAAAACCGTGATAAAACTGCGATTTAATGCGATTCGGCGTACCGTATTTCACGACATCGTCACAAGAGATGAGACAAAGTCTTGCATGCCTGTATTACTAAAACGTAGTTTTAACGACAACGAATACTCCGTACCGTACGGTTACGTCTCCAGCGAATAAAGATATATCTCGCTCCTTTGTTTTACTTATTTGCAGCGTAAGATTTTAAAATTATTTCTAGGGTAAGAAAAATGTAATAACTGTAAAATATAAGAAAAATGTAAAAACTGCGAAATATACGGAATATTCACGCCTGTTTACTCTCCCTATAAAAAGATGAACCTAAATTTTACGCGCTATACTTTAAAAATAAAGACATTTATATGCAACGAAGACAAATGTAAAAAATTAAAACTTTTTAAATCGGTTTTGTTCTTACGCATTCTTACAATCCCTCGACCCTCACCCGTCCCTAGGTTTTAAGCAAGCGAGCGAAACAATTTTGAATTTCTTGCGCGACGTTTAAGGTGCGAATAGAAGTAACTTTCAAACAAGAGGATAAAATGTCCCGGCTGAGAGCGAACCGAGAAATATCACTTGTTCCAATTAACGCGATAAGCTCATCAATCGCGGTTCTAGCGCTGGGAGGATACGAGCTGTATCTTTCCCCCAGCGCTAAATAAGCTTTTGTGCGTCGCGTGAGGAAGCTCGCTCACGGCGGCGCCGCACCGCGGGAAAGAGCTCGTAGAGGCGCGCGCGCGCGCGTCCCTGCGGATGTACGCTGACGCGAGCGCCGCGGCCGCCGCGTGTGCCCCTCCGCGAGGATTTGCTAGCACACCGTCGCGCGATTCAACATATAAATCCGCGCTCGCGAACCGGTCTTTTTTCATTCCCAGAATCGTATGCGGAGACCGTTTGTTTCGCGACATAAACATGCGCTGGAGGCATCCTTGGACGTCGATCGCTTGCGGTCCGACGGGATTCGGTAAAACGATCTTCGTGAAGACTTTTCTTCGCCATTTGTCCGATGTCCGTTTCGAAAGAATTTTGTTTTATTACGCGGAGTGACAGGAGACCTATCGTCAACTGCAGCACGAAATGGATTCGTTGTACCACCGCGAAAAGTCCGGAGCAGCATCGTGCGACATCGGAAAACGACGGGGAAATATAATCGAGTTTCACGAAGGTTTACCCTGCCCCGATGATTACTTGCACGATCCGCTTTGCGCGAAATTAGTGATAATCGACGACCTTATGAGGGAATCGTCCTCGTGCGACGTGATTGTGGATTTGTTCACAAAAGGTAGTCATCACAAGAACCTCAGCGTTATACTGATTTCCCAAAATCTCTTTCATCAAGGCCGCAAGCAGCGGGATATTTCTCTCAACAACAATTATATCGTGATATTAAAAAATCCTCGCGATTGCTCTCAAACTCGCCACTTGGCGCGTCAAGTTCATCCGGATGATCCGAAGTTTCTGGAAGAGGCGTACTACGACGTTACTTCGCGTCCACACGAATATTTGCTGCTCGATTTGAAACTGCGGATAACGCGCATTATGTTTATGCATAGATCTTCTGGAAATCTCGTATAAAACTCTGCACGCTCACCCGAATCGCGACAATCGCGTCTTCGCGATGACATTAAAACGCGGGAGTAGCGATAGAGCAACGAGTATCGTATGTCGCTCTATCAGCCGGAAAAACATCTGCCTTCTGAAAGCACTGTGCTATTTAACAAAAAAAGAGCAGGCCTCCTTTTTACGCTGCGCGGATAACGATTTCATCGCCTGTATCTGCGAATGCGCTTTCAACACACTCAGAGGTAAAGTACCGCTCGATCAGCGAGAAAAAAGTCGTTTGTCCAAGTACAAATCAGCGCTGCGGAATATCGCGAGTAAACGCGCTAATTTGAGAGCTAAGAGGAAAATTATCGTGCAAAGAGGAAGATTCTTGCCTTACCTGATCGGACCCATACTCGGTGCTATTCTATCCAGCGTTATCGGTAGACCGCGAAATTAATTAAATCGAACGCTCGCACACGCGCGCTCGCGTGTATGTATCATGGAAAGAGCGAGAAAGATGGTTTTGGTTTCTGCGGAAAATCTCGCGAGAATGCAGCAGCAGGAGCTGCAGCAACAACACGTGATTCCCGCCGTTTCGTCGAATAATGACGCAGGATCCGGTGAAAATACCGTACGCACTCCGGGAACCGTTTTGTCGCGACTTGATGCCGAGATGAGACGAATTCTCGATTCAACGATGCCGAATCGCGAGAAATGGGAATTGTACAGAGAAGTGCTTCAACGTTACCTGCATTTCTTCTGAGAAGAAGAAAAAAATCAAAAAACGCGCGAAAACGCGAGCGTTTGCAACGACGGCGACAATGCAGAAAACAATCGTCCCGAAGACGATGCGAGATACAGAAACAACAACGTCATTGATGACGAACCGGAGCTCGATTGTCGTCGTGAGAGAGAGACAAGGGAAGCGGCGCACCTTCGGAAGCGCGTATCGATGAAGATAACGCGAGCGCATTGAGCCGCCCCGTCGGCAAAGCCCTCTGTCGAGGACGCCTCAGCGAGCAGAAAAGCATCAGAGGAATACTGGATAAAATCCCGAAAAGTTATCGCGGTAAAACGCCCAAGTTGTTGCGATATTTATGCGATGTGGCGGTACCCGTTAGAATAAGCTGGGACAGACAAGGGATCGTGAATATAGATGGAAACGCTTTAAAGGGAACGAACATTGCCGAACTTGTGAACGATGCGGTACACGAAAGAGAAACCTTAAAACGACGGGGAGAGGCCGATTCACTCAACTATTGCGCGATATAGCTATTCCTCTGAATTCGTGGGAAATCACGAATTACGAGAGAAGAGCATTCGTCAGATTTTCACCGAAAAATCGCCTTTGCACGATAGCGTTTCTATTCCCGATGATTTAGCGGTACGTAGTAGCACCCTATTCCAAGAGCGAAAGCGCGAATGGATAAACGCGCGTTCGACGAAGCATCGTTCGAAGATAAGCGTGACGATGAGGGATACTCGGCGTTTATATCCGGCGACGGCAACAAGAACAAAACTCGCGTGAGTGGCCGCGATTCCAAACTCGCGATTGTTAAATTGGAATCTCATGGAACCTTTGGACAGTGGCGCGTATATCCTCGAAGGCCCATCGTCGTCGCGTAAAAACGTAACTTTTCCCGGGACAAGGGTAGCAGCCGGTGAACGCAGATACGGTAAAACATCGTTCGAAGAGGAATGGGACAACGAGGTGTTTATATCCAGCAACAACAAGAACAATAAAACGCGCGTGAAGGACAAAGATTCTAAATTCGCAAGGAAGAGATGATTGTTGGATTGGAACCTTTTGGAATGACGGGGCTGGAAAAATTATACTTTAATCCCGCGCACTATGCGAGGTACTCCGCCGTGGAAAATCTTTCGCGTGCCAACGAACCGGATTTCAATCGAAATGAAATTATTAGTTGGCTCGAGTCAAGACGCGTACACGCTGCACAGACCGATACAACGCAAATTTCCCCACTTACATTACAACATGACGAATATCGATGACGTGTGGAAGGCCGATTTGATCGAGCTTCGCAATCTCAAGAACTACAACGATGACTACTGCTACTTACTCACGATCATCGATGTGCTTAGCAAATATGTCTGGGTGGAAGCGATACGTAACAAAACAGGCTTTAGCGTGACGTCAGCACTCCGACGCGTACTCTCGAGGAGCGAGGGACGGCTACCTGTGTATCTACAGACCGACAAAAGAAAGGAATTCCTCGCGCGTCCCTTTCAAAACTTTTTAAAAGAAAAAAGCATATATTTTGCGTAACTCGAAATCCCGATGTCAAAGCCGCCGTAATCGAGCGCTTCAATAGAACGCTCAAGGAACGAATGTGGCGCTATTTTACTCATCGGAATACGCATCGTTATATTGATATTTTGCAGGATATTGCGTGGGTCTAAAATCACATCCATTATTCCGCCATCTTGATGCAGCCGGCGAGTGTTACGCTGGAAAACGCTCGCATCGCACGCGAAAATACGAAACGACCATACGAGCGCGAAGGGGGAGTTCGTAAAGGAAAGGCTAAATACGCGGCGATCTGGTGCGAGTCAGTAGGACAAAAGGCACCTTCGAGAACGGATACGAGGCGAATTGGAGCGAGGAAATATTTGAAATCGCATTCTTGCATGGTCAGAGCTGCGGATATTGAGCGATCTATCAGGTGAAGTTATAGATGGAATATTCTACGAGCAGGAACTAGCGAGGATGAGCGAAAATTTGCGAGAAGAGGAGTTTATCGTCGACAAGGTGATAAAAAGCAGGGGTCGCGGCGCCAGTAAGGAATTGCTAGTTAGCTGGCAAGGATACCCCTCTAAATTTAATTCGTGGATATCCACTTCGAATCTAAAATTGTTCGAGCATAATGCGGGAGTAATTTCTCATAATTCTACCTAGCAACAGTAGCATACGATACTTTCCGGAAAATACGACCACGTCGTTTATTACAGAATTATCTCAACGAGTGGATTTGCGCGGTCAATGGTAAGTCGCGCTCACCGTGATTCAGTTTCCTTACAGTTTTTTGCACATACAACCCGGAGAGGAAGGCCGTCTTATCTTCGTCAATATCGAGGAGCACGAGCTGAAGAAAACTGTCGAGATCGAAACCGCCTGCATAACCCCCGGCGTTTACCGCGATCTACCGGATTTGATATCTGCCTTAAACAGCGCCTGTGCGGAGATCGGAGCGCACATCGTTTAGCGGGTGGATTCCCGATACGGTGGCAGAGTCTTTATGAGTCTCAAATGCGACAAAAAACAATGCACTTTGTCTCATTGTGTAAAATTCTCCGACAAGCTCGGCCGTATGCTAGGATTCGATAAGCACAGGACGCGAAGAACTAACATATCCCGACGTGGCGAATATCGAATCCGTATTGCGCTATCCCGATTCGAAATCCGCACCGAGCGCGCGCGAAGTTAGCGAGGAATTATTTTACATGACTTCGTCGACAATACGGGAACTCGCGTCCGACGCGCCGGGTAGTATCGCGCGAGGTATCCCTGATAAACTCTTCGTTTATTGCGACATCTGCGAGTCTTACGTAACGGGGAATGTCTCTTCCCCTCTTCTTCGAGTGGTCCCGGTCAA